ATTTCCCCAAATTGCCTGCAATTCTGGTTAGGTTTTATTCTGACACTCGATTTATGTTATTCAGGGGGATTAGGAGCATACTACACTCATCCAAAGTTTTAAGCAATTCTAGTGAAACTAGTATTTATGGCTAAAGCTTTGAATACCAGGAAAGCAGTCAGAAGTGCACTTTTATTCGCAAAGAAAGGCTCTCCTGAATGCCCTAAAGTGGTCTCCCCTAGGCTGGGCAAGCCCCAGACCCAAGCTCAGCTTTGGTCTCTCCTATGTCCACAGCAAGGGGTGAGCAGCCTCCGCTCCCCCAATGCAATGCAACGCTGCTTCATCCCCTTCCAGGCTCCCCAGTCTGCTTAGACTGTGAACTCTTTGGACCATGATCTGTTTGTTTATAGTATTTAGCATAATAAAGCTTTAATCCCAGATATAGCCCCAGTGTGCCACTGCACTGCTGATGGCAGGCAAAGAAAGGTACGTTCTGAAAGGATGCAAATCTTGCTTAATACGGAAGCCTGGGTAAACTGAGCACCTTACAGCAAATGTGTTTCTATTTCAGTTTGTTTTGAAAGGCTGATGGCCCAGATTTTTGCCCCAATTTTTTTACATATATGTATATATACGTATATACATATACTCTCCACATTTTTAGATATACGCATATATAAATATACACACATATATTTTCTCCAATTTTTACATATATGCCTGTATAAATATATGTATATACATATATTTTACCCATTTTTACATATATATGTATAAATTATACATACACACTCACATTCCTGTATTACATACAGATGATACACGTGCACATGACACTATGTCTAATAACCAAACCTCTCCACTTCCACAATCAAATAAATTGCTGCCATCTCGGCTAATGTAATGAAATGCACGGATGGAGCAAAATTACAATACTAAGGCATGTAAAAGGGAAAGCCAAGGAACGTAATCTTCCTAAAGACACCTTCATGCCCAGCCAAAGAGAGTCCTGCATGGAGTAAGAACAGGGTAGCAGGCTTTAATGGAGCCTACAGCCCATAGTATTAGTTTGAGTTCCATTTTTACGAATTATTGCTTGGTCAATAGCATAGCAGTGCCAATGCAACTGGCTCTAAGGCATGCCAGTTTAAGAACCCAGAACTAAAGAAAATTAATCCAGTGCACACTAATGATTAAAATTGGCTGACAGGTCTCAAAGCGCAATAGAAAATACAAAATTATCCTTAGGCAAGTGATTTTCTGCTGGAGTTCTGCAGGGATTGCTTTTTACTGTTCTTTTAATTCCCCCTTCCCTTCAGCAATCCTGGAAGAAAACCAGCGACTGTGGTTGCAGACAATATAGGGATTAGGATAACAGAAAGCATCGAAGAGAGCAGGACACTGATACACATTGATCTGAACTGCGTGGGTAAGTCAGACAGAAAATACCACGTGTGTTTTAACACAGACCAAAAAAAAACCAAAACCTCTTTAAGTTAGGGTGTGCTGCAGAATGGAGCACAGCTCTGAAGTACATCCAGAAAGAGTCCTCAGTACATCAATTGACTGATCAGTTGAGACATATTCTAGAGGCTTAAGGACCATGAAGCAATGTAGGTGTAAAAGATGGAAAGGATAAGTTCTTTCCTGGCTGATAATCCTCCCCTTTTATGTCCACCCTCACTCCTCCAAGAACTCCTCAGGTCCCTTTCTCCTAAGCATGGGCTCCAATACTTGAAGGGACACTGTGGACACATCCACAGCCTCCAAGAGCTGTTTCCCCTGCACTGTAAGCAAGTGCTTTGGCAAGCTAACAACGAGAGCAACGTGCTACCCTCGTCACTTCAGAGCATCTTTTCCTCCTGCCAAGCAGCCCCATGATTCAGATTTCATATGCTTGCTCCTACAAGGGACTACCCAACACGCTGAGCTGCTAGAGGATTTTTCCAGCTATTTCATGCACTCTGCTTAATCACAGCTCTTCTCACCTGGCAGGTACAAGGGCTCTGAGACAGCCACAGCCAGAGAACAGCAAGGAAAAAACCCAGGCAAACTCAAGTTCACAGACACATCTACACACTGCTCTGCAGGCAGTACTGTGGCCACTACATGAGCATCTCAGCCAGCCTTCCCATCGTTTCTGTTGGGAATTCAGTTACCTAAATCATTGCATTGTTAAAAAAAAAATCTAGCTGATATATTAAAAGTACGACTCAAACATCTGTTAACTTGACTAAATACAACTCACTATCTTAACCAACAGAGTCACTACTCCAAATAGAAGCATCATGTTAGTTTTATGCTACATAAATGCTAATTTGTGACACAACTTGAAAGTAAGAAAACTCCTACTAGGAATAATTTTAAAAAGATGCACTTTCAGGTAGATTTTCATGGGCAAAGGGGAGAGATGTGACTCAGGCAATATGTTCCCAAATTTGAAGTCTTTATGCCTAAGAACAGGAACAGCGTAACTTCTCCAAAGGCAGCTGCCAGAATACAGCATCTAAAGGCATTACCTCTAAAATTTTTCTGAAACGTCTAAACTATTTCTTGCTGAAAATTTCCAAAATTCCCAATGCAAGATGTGTCAACACTGAAGTTCCCAGTTAAAAAAGTTTGGAAAAATAAAAACTGAAACAAAGCATCTGAATTAGAAGGTTTAGGCATCCTCAGCACAGATGTCACCACCAGCCTCCTCCTCATCTTTCCTACACACTAATACAGAACGGCATAGAATTTTACATGATTTTATTACATAAGTAGTTAAAGTATCATTACCTACTATGCTACATATAACCAAGGGTAGCTGTGCAACCTTACCCTTGCTAAAAACTTGTAACAGGGGTTTCAGGACTGGTATTGAGGTGGCTGGAAATGACTTTGTATGTTCAGAGAGGACCTTAAGTGAGCCGCCCCCTGCAACCCAAGAAAGCTGCTCCCAATGTTCCAGGTGAGCACAGCTCTGAAGTCCCATTACAGGGTCACCCGGCGATTGAACTTTCAGGCTCAAGATTTTACTGCCGGATCCACTTTCTTTTCACAGCAACCACCTTCTGACAGGCAGGACAGAGAAACTTGACACTTGCCATGAGGCACACAGTGACTTTCAGCTAATCCTGTTTAATGAGGCATTCCCCAAAGTGCCTCTCAAGCAAGGGGTCAGCTAATCCCATTCACTGACAGGATTTTTTTACTCTTAGAAAATGGAAAGTGGCTGAAAACAAGAATATTTCCTTTTATTTTGATTTACAGATAGTGCTTTGAAGAGGGAAACCATGACATTTGGAAAATTAAACGTGAGCTGTTCCTGTCCATTATTGTTAAACCAGTAACTTTTATTAGGTGTTGGAGAAAAACGGGCTTTTAGACAGGCTCTCCCATTTAAACAGCTATGCTGAGATTTGTCATTTAAAGCACTAAAAAAATGCTAATACTGTTTTAAGTGAGGATTAAACAGCACTTAAGAGCATTTAGCTGCCATCCTTCTACAGACAGTTATTAGATAAAAACTAATCATTTTTAAAGATAAAAATGTCATTGTTAAAATCAGTATAAGAAATCGAAAATCAATAGTTTATACCCTTATAAGAAAGGCACAATATTTTAGACCAATGGCCACACAACATACTTTCTTAAAATGAAGAACATGTGCCTCCCACTCAGCTATACCGGATACGTGACAAAAAGGCTGGGTGCTTTGTAGTAACATCCGAGCAAAAGGAACAGGAAAGCAGGTCAGTCTGAACACTGAACATATGGGATCTGGAGAGTAATCAATGGTTTCACAGCTCTCCCCAATATTAGAGAGTCATTAAGGCACTGAGAAACATCAGCTATCTGAAGAAGATGCCACCTGTGTTCAAAACATGCCAGACATGAAAGAACTCCAGCTACTTCACAGGATGCCCGAAATGAAGTGTGTTGCTTTACAATAACTGTAATCGTCTGAGCCTTCAAGAGTAGCTACCTTTGAAATTAAACTATATTTAGGTAAATGCAAAAACAGTGAATGTTTTCAATTGCTTTTCAGCACTGAATTTCTCAAAACAAGTTATGCCGATGCCGAGAATTCATTTCAAATGAATTTAGCACCTACCTCCAGCAGTACAGACAGCAGTGAACTTTACACTGTAGTGGTGAGAAGTGGCTAAACCAGCACACTCTTCTTGAATTAATGAAAAAAATGACCTAACATAACTTAAATTCACTTCCATTGTCCTGCCACTTGTAGCTCTCTATGAGTATTTACCTATAAAGACTCCTTTTCATGGGTTGTAAATGGAGCATGATATTGTGAACAGCAAAAGCCAATGCTGCATGTGATGCTGATCAACATCAGTCCTCAAGAGAATTGGTTCTAGAGGAGCAAGGGAACAACTCTGAAGGTCTGTTCACTCCACACACCGTTTCTCTACAGAGTTACTTTTATGTGATTGCCTGCAATGCCCTACTCACTGCTGTGATGCTTGTCTGGACAGTCCCAAACTTGCTCTATGGTATAAAGGTGATTATTGTTCATTCAGCTCAATGCAAGATAACCACTCAAGTGTTCATTTAACCAATAAAACACCTTTCGCACATTGATTTACAAGAGACAATTTTCAGGAAACAGAGATGACATTTTACTGCTCAAGCAATAAATCATCTACTGATACTGGGGGCAGGGAGAGCAATGTGAGAGATGAATAGCTGTATCTTAATTTTACATATTAAGAGTTTGACTGTAAGAAGCGTTAAGGAGACATTGTGACACACTCAAAATGCATCTTCAGTGATATTTGTCCCCAAACACCTATGATCTAACAAACTCATACAGGGAAGGTAAAAGGGGCAAACAAAGTGTGGTAGCTAAAAAGCATGTTCCAAAAACGCAAGGAAAAAATGTTGCTCTGCTATCCTCATAGTACAGTGAAGCAACACAGATAAAGCTCAAGACTGGCATCAAAATGACTTCAGGGGAAGTTTCTGATTTGGCACGCTAGACTGAGTTTTCAACAAAATCCATCCCCAAGACTGACCTCTTGAAGTGGTTTGCCAGGACTCCCACCAGCTCTCCAATCCTGCTGTCATTAGAAGGCTCTTTACTGAAGAGACAAACAATGAGATCCTTGTTGTCTTTCGTGTGGAAGACCACGAGCTGGTCCTTTCCATTGGAGACACTCAATCCTATCAACTGTGAAGAGAAAGCAAGAACGATATTATATAATATTACATACATTGATGTATCTTTGCTACTCGCCAGGCTAGTTCTTTCCTCTCCAAGATGCCACATTCACTCTCAACATCTACCTCTACCACAGAGCTCAGTACTCCTGCCACAAGCTGAAAAAGTCAAGGTGATACACCAGTGGTTTTTTGGAAGTCAACAGTCTCAAAGGTGCGATGAAATTTTACCATCTAGACCGGGTTCACTCTCAGCAACTCTTGCCAGAAGCAGCAAGGTCCCGTGTTACTGTAGTGTCCTTCTGCCTATCCAGCACCACGGGTGCACCCACCAAAGAGTGCACCAGGTGGATTTCTAACAGCCAAAGCTTTCTTTCCCCAAAACCTCACACTGAATGACACCGCATGGTTCATTGGCAGAGCCACAAGCCTGCTTTTTTTTTTTTTTCTTTTCAAAGGAAACCAACAATCATCATGAGTTTGGCCAACAACCAACTTCAAATTCACATACGCAGTGCTGGGAATGCAATGATATCCAGATAACGTAAGAATGAAGTTTACTGAAAGCCTAAACATCTTGATGAAAAATATAAGTCACAAATCCCGCAAAGCCATGATGATTCCAGTATTTAGGCATGGATTAAGGTCTTGCTCTTCTGACAAAATAAAAAGGTGTGGGGTTTTGGTTTGGTGGTTTGGGGTTTTTTTTGCCTATCAAGTAACTGCTACTTGGCACATTAAAAGCTTTGTCCTCATCATCTCACAAAGCAAAACCAGGAAATTTTTTAGGAGTGGCAATCTGGGTACATAGGCTATTCAGATGAATATTAGAAAAATTAAAAAATGAATCTCCACTGGGGAAACAAAATATAAGGATGGCAAAAGAAACATCAAGAGGCAAGTACATTTAACAAACTGGTGCTAAAAAAATAAAATAAAAAAAAGAGAGAGAAAGGCAAAAGAGTGATGAGTACAGAGAGAGAATACAGCAGACCTTCCCTGTCCACTAAAGGACTACACAACTCCTTTGAGTAATCCAGAGATTTGCATAGAGAAGCCACATTCTCCTCAAAGTGAGAAGCACCAATATACCATTTTGTGGAAACGAAAGTCTCATTATTCCCTTCTTAAAGAAAAAAGCCTTCTGTGTAACCCCGCTGCCTGTGTTGGAAAGGATATTAGCACAAATCAAGCTGGAGACTACTCCAGCTTTCAGAAGCATGAATCATATTCAGAAACAGTCTGGATCCATATGTTTGGTTTAGCAGTCACAACGTATTACTTCCAAGAAACCTGTTCCAGCTCTGGATGTCTAACACATACCAGACAGCAGCATCGTCCCAGAAAAACACACCACAACCAGCATGCAGCAGTGTAGTGTATGCCCTATTTTCTGGATAAAACACTACTCAAGTTTAGAATCACTAATATTTTGTTGGCTTATTATCACAGTACAACAGTCTGTCTGAACTACAGTAACTGCCGATATTTCAAGTATTGAGCAGAGACCTCCTGCTACCAGTTGCACAATATACCCAACACAGGTGGAGTTTATTCTCTACTGTTCACACTATTTTGAGGTTACGAAATACTTTAAAAACAAGCTACACTTCATGCACAGACATTAACAGCTGCCTGGGTTTATAGTGTCCCTTAAAATTAATTTGCATGCTTAAATAACATCCTGTGAGCACAATAGCACCACAGGGACTACTGCCATCAAGGTTTTAAATGTGCACTGAGTGTGAAAGTTGAACAAGTTGAAATCTCTGGATTTGAAAAGCCTATTTAAACATTAATTATTCAACAGAAGCTTGTTAGAAGTCCAAGAGCCCTTCAAAATTTTCCTATTTCACCCCTCCCCGTAAGACTATCTGAACAAATAAATATAACACAAAAGAAACAATTTCAGAGAAGGTGCTTATCTCAGTATTTACAAACACTAATATTAGCTCTGCTTAAAGATCAGGAAAAAATTTTCAGCATCCACAGAACATCTTTTATTGTATTCAGAACTGTACTGGGAAAGGTAGTTGCAAGATCCTTTCTGCTGCTCAGTCGCTTTTTAATTCCTTTCTGCCATTATCTGTTTATTTTCTCTCCAGGTAAGAACAAAAAGATAATTGTATATTGGTACTTATGAGGCAACTGCCAGAATGCTTGCACACAGAAAATCCCCTAAAGTAGCATCTCAATCCAGCAAAATAGTCAGGGTAGTGAAAGGAAAGTTATTGCTTTGTCATCATTTGCACAAAATTACAGATTCCTCACACAGGACACAAAATAACAGAATGCAGAGCCTGGGACCCGAGCAAGCATGCATTACAGGCTATACTGAAACCATTTACATGTAAACATAGTTAAAGGAGATGGGGAACTGTAGTGCAATTTCTTCAGCCGAAAACAAGTTTATGGTCGTAACAGACATCAGCTGACTGTCTCCAATGAGATTTCCATGGAAACACCATCCCTAAGGATGTTGCCATGTTGATACGGTGCTTTCAAAATGCTGACAGCGAGCAGCACAGCTAACAGGCAGACAAATTTCAACTGGGTTCACCTTTAGATATTGGAAGGGCAATCCATCTTCCCCAGTGAACACACATCCTTCTGGTAGGACATATTTGGTACACCGATATACATCAAGACTGGTGTAATTATTATCCATTTGCTTCTCAAAAATCTTTGTATCAGTTCAAACAATTGTTCTTTCCCCGAAAGGGAAGGAATCTCTGTATCCCTAATTGGCTACTTACAGCACCTCCCTGTACACTATGAAAGTGTTTCCACACAAGAAGGGATCAGGCACGCAGAAAAATGAGAGAGAGATGCAAGGCAGCTCAAGAGGTGAAAGACAATGCATATTCAGACAATTTAGTAACAAATATAAAACATAACTACAAAAGGAAAAAACCCCTGCATTACAGCATTAACCATTAGCAGGAGTACAATTTACAAAATCCTGGCAAAAGAAATACAAATATTTCATGTCCTGTATATGAACCAAATAAATTTCCAAACTCTCTCCTCCTCTCCCCCCTTCCTGCGGCACAGAGAGGGGTCAGCCGTAAATCAACAGGATCAGTGAGCACGCCCCGGAACCACCATGCAATCCCAGTGCGTACGTGCAGATTTTCTCCTGTTCCCCAGGAACACAGTGCAGGAGAAGTAAGTAAAAGGAGAGGCTGTGGCCAACAGAGCAGAAATTTATCACTACAGCATTTACCAAAGATAGCTTTCATCAAATTTCCACTCCGGAATATTATTCTGACACCTGTATGAGTCAGCAAAGGGTCTTTTGGACCCATCCCTCCTGTGCAAAGTACTCCAGGACCTCTTCATAGTTGCTCAGGTCAAGGAAACTGTTCAGTCAGGAAGCCTTGTGGTAAGTTGCTAAAGGGAATAATTGCAGATCTATAATAAATCTAAATAAAGGTGATTTATATCTACAGAAATTTAAGTATTCTAAGAGCAAGAGACCTATATGCACAGACCATTAACTGCTTCGCTGCTAGAGGAAATGCAAAGCAGACAGCCAACATACAGCCTGTGCTACAGCACTCTGTAAGAATGGTTATTCTATTTTAGATGTCCGTGTTTTGTGAAAAAACAATAACTACTAACATTTCTATGTAACAGATATTCTATAGACAACCTACAAATTGTATCCAACTTGCTTGCCCCCTTTAATGTTTAAGGCATTAAGAATTTTAGAGGAAAACGTTCAGATACCAACAGGGACCTGGTCTTGTGCTGTTATGTAAATGTAAAAGCTCCACCTTTAAACCCATCAGGCACACAGGTAAAGCAGACATTTTTCTAAAACTGTGATAAATACAGATTTACTTATAATTACTAATGTAGTAAGTGAATTGCAGTGGCCTAGCCATTTTCTATAAGGTAAGAGTGCAGAAAACTAGTAGTGAGAAATTGTGATGGACAAAATTCCACCTTGTCCACCTGAGTTCACCTTGATACTTCACAAAAAAAAGACCTGTCCAGGAAAAACACTCTACGTAGTCTCTATGTATTTGAACAAGTTGGTTTGCACAAGCAAGAGTCAGCCATTTAGCAGCGTAATCTGCTGACAATTTCATTTTGCACAATTAAGAGATAATGTCAGTAGAACAGAACATCAACTGAGGAAAATGACCTGCAGCTGCTAACTCCCTGGCAGTAATGTCTTTTCAAAACAAGAGACACTGCCATGGAGACATTGCTTTGTACAGCGAATAACGAATTGGGGTACGAGCATGTTACTCCACACACATGCTGCCGTGGGTGGTCGGTGCACAGCTTAGGTGGATGACCAGCATGGAGGTTAGAAGAGGACCTATAAAACCAATGTTACTTATGCAGTCTGAGCTAATCATTCACTCCACATTTGCAGATTAGATTTTACCGTTACCCTAATCCCATCTCTGCTCTTTTAGCAATACGGGCCCACCAGATTTATTATTTCTCCAAATGCAAACATCCCAACAAATTTGTGTACGACATTTCCAAGCAACCCAGCCAGGTTCTGTAGGTTTAAGATAACCATAGCAGTGTTACCTCAGGCTGAATCAAAAAACCGAGCAGTTGAATCCACACTCCAGGATGCTGAAGAGCTAAAATGAGGTTTTCCCCCATCCCCCTTCCTACTAGTGATAATCTGCTGCTTTGTCACTGGCAGCTAAACTCTGCTACCCCGAAGGCGAGATACCTCACTATAATTCCGAATTTAGCTTTGATAAGATTTACATTAAAAATGAACAAATAAATAAAAAAATTTCAAACACGACATGAAGGATCAAACAAACCCCCAGAGACACAGAAATTGTGTCATAAGCTGCTGTGAAATGCTAACCCCCTTATGGGGCCAGGATCTTGCAGCGCACAGCAAATAAAAAAACAAATAGAAGAAAGAGCAGAAGAGAGTGTGATAAGCAGTTTGGGTTTTAGCTTTTATTTTATGTGCTGAAATTAGAAGCTAACGTGATGCATCAGTGTTGTAGATAATTGCACTATAACTGTTTTAAAGACATTAAACATATTAAAAACTGTAAACCAAGGTCTTTTTCCATTTTATGGATATGAAAATGGAGCTAAACAGTAGATGCACTGCCCATGACTAAGAGAGCCCGAGATGAGATTCCCCAGTCCCTGTACTTACATTATAGAGGGGGATGGTCTTCATCACTTTGTACTGCTTCATAGGGTCCATCTTATAAAGGTGTCGATCAGTAATGAAGATTGCTCTGTCCTCCACCTTATTGAAGCGATTGACCTGTAAAGAAGCAAATTTTCAGTCCCACTGATCACTGCAAGAAATGCTGAATAAAACTGCAGCAGGAAATATCCAAAACTCACACAGCTTTTAAACAGGTTTTCTCCACAGATCTTGAAACAGTGAAAAGGGAAGATGGATCCCATAATCCCATTTTACAAATAGAGAAATGCTGAGTCTTGGAGAACCAACCTTCCCAGAGTTATCCAGCATGGCTGGGGCAACCTGGGAAAGTCTACGGCCTCAATCAAATAAAGGACAGATGCTTTCCCCTAGCAACATTCAACCTGCATCCCTGTCCGCTGGCAGACACCAAGCCCAGGCAGATGGCTGTTGTTACTACATTATACATGTGCCTTTTTCACCCCAAAAGCATGATGCAGAATACCTGCCCTGCAGAGCCAAACAGAGTGTCACCAGGTCTGTGACAGTCCAGACCTGAGGCATTTGAAAGTAGATGCTTTGGTCCTGAATTCAGGCAGGTCCCATTTCCCTCTTTTAAAACATCTGTGCCTTCGATGTAGCTGAGCAACTTGCCCAAGAAGTGGAAAATGTGGACAACATTCCTTCCCCTGCCCATCAGTGGATGTGTTAGCTGAGTATGGGCACGCTCCACCGGTTTTGCTGAAGTTGTGCCACTCTGCAAGAAGGAAGAAGAGACTGAAGGGGCCAGACAGAGCCCGGGAGAGCCAAGCCTGTACACAGGGACCTAGGCAGCCAGGTGGTGGGAGGAAGGCAAGGTTATTTCTTGGCAAGCAGAAGACCCAAGCTGGAGTGCCCTCAGGCTGCAAGGGGTATTGAACACGACCCTCTCCCTTCCTAAGTAAGACAAGCAAAGCAAGAGTACAACCAGTCTCGTCTAAAGGCTCACTGCCATTGAGAACAACATCCTGTTGCCCCTTCCAGGAGGTCCTAACCCCAATACCCTGAGCTAGCTCTGGTGCTCATCAGCCCTACCAATTCACTAACCTGACAAAAATCTGCCCTTTTTGTGAACTTAGCAAGGGAAGGGCACAACGAGCATCTGAGCCACTGCAAGGGAAAGAGGGTGAGGCTCTGGGTAGTGATAAACAGGGGAAGAAAACAGGACAGCTCTGTTCAGCAGCAGCAAGCTGTGAGGTCAGTTCAGCCACCCCAGACCCGTACTGCGAGTACAGCAGATTTTTCTATAGAGGTGGACATCACTCAACCCATATTTTAACCTGACTTTGTGTTCTGTTAAGGACATGTTATTCAAGGCAAAGATGTCTAAGGATCACCAGTGGGCTCAAGCTCCTCAGAAGAAATTCTTTAAACAGGAGCCCACTGCCCAGCTATGCTGTCTAGGGCTATTCTGGGAACACAACGAGCAAAGCTACAGCATCCAGCAAACTTCTAGACCAAACAAGGAAGCACCCAGAGGCATCTGTGCACCGCTAAGGTTAACTGACCACAGAGTGAGATTTTTAGTTGATTTGGTTTTTGTTTGTACCATTTTCAGGTTATTTTGAATCTGGACTCTGGTCTCCTGACTCCCAGTCCACTCCTATAAGGTACTTAGTACTACAAAAATTACAGTGCACTTCAAACAACTTTGATACTTGCTTCCAAAAAGAGGCAAAGGTGTTTTAATCTTCAAATGACTGTACCCTCTGAAAAAGGTAGGGTACAGAGGAGATGGAGCTAGGTTTCTCGGAGAAGTACAGCAAAAGGACAAGAGGCAATGGGCAGAAGTTGCAGCAGCAGAAAGTCCAACTGGACATAAGGGAAAAAAATCTCCCCAGGAGGGTGGCAGCTCTGGAACAAGGCTCAGAGAGGCTGTCTAACCTTCATCCTCAGCGATTTTCAAAACTCGGCTGACTGAGGGCCTGAGCAGCCTCATCTAACTCTGAAGTTAGCCCTGCTCAGAGCAGGAGGTTGGACCACAGACCTCCAGAGGTCCCTTCCCACCTAAATCATTCTGTGATTTCATCAGCCCATATGGTACCAAGAAAATAGACTTCACGGTATCTGAAATATTCTGACATTTTCTAGTAGTTCAGCAAACACAGCTTAGTGTCACCATTGGGAAACATTAATATCTTAATATCTTAATGTTGCCACTGGGCTTTACAGTTGTAAATTTAAGACCAATTACAGAGACACACTATAATTCAGTGAAGAACCATTAGTTGCCTGCTGAGGCAAACCACTATATTATCACCTGTAATCTCACTGGCAGTCAACAGCAGCAGAAGAGATTATCTGTATATATATGTCCCAACCCTCATGGAATAATCTTAGGCATACTCAAGAAGTTGCTTCACTTTAATTTGAACTCAAAATACTACCCACCTGGGATATTGCTTGCATAACCAGGCACTCAGTGTATGGGGAAAGTAAGCTCCATCTTGTAGTGTATTTATGGGTTTTTTGTGTGGATCAACCCTAAAACAACTTTTTTTTTTTTTTTAAATACCAATTATACATAAAAGTTCTGATAAGGTAAAAATTAAGTGGGAAAGACAGCAATATGTGAACCCCCCAGCAAGTACCACTGAAAACAGCCAAGTGCACAGCCCCACATCCCAGTATTTTGTTGCAGCTCATACATCCAGTTTCTATGTAGTAAGAGCAATGGAAGAACAGATTATTTAAGCACCAGCTAATGATGCAAACTAATGACATGGCCCAGCAGCAGGCCATGTATAGTGGTCATATAATTATATAATTTCTCTTAATTCTAGGTATTCTGATGTTCTGAATTCATGTCTATTTTTGGCCACCAATTATGTCTCCAGCAACAGCATCCCTCCAGTACCTGACAAATTAAATCACCAGAACTGCTGTCAAATGCCACACAAGCACCTCTGGAAAATTATTGTAAAATTATGCAACTGTTTATTAAAAATGTACTCATTCAAAGGATACAAGATACTAAATGTTATACCTTCACAACGACATCTGATCTGGGGAAGATCCAGGAAGACTGAAGCTAATAAACCACTATTCTACACCTTATGGAATTAGTGTGATTGTTTACAAAAACAGAAGTGGGAGGATCATGTTATGCCAGGAAACAAAATTATAAACTCTCCAGAGAAGTGTTTTATACCCTGGGATCATGCCTTTGTTCATATCTCCTTTCTAAACACAGCTCATTTCAATTCCCCCCATCCCATCGCAACTCATTACAAATATTCTTCTAGGCTGCTGGTAACGTTAGGCTCCAGCAAGTGGGGTTTTGACAGAGGAAACACACGTCTCACTAACATTACAATTAATTTGTTGAGGAAATACTACAGCAAAGGAGAATATTTGATGCCATCTAGGCTTTCAGGTGTCCCAAGAGGCCGGGTACTAAATAGTCACAAGGCAAGATGCAAAGTTTTGACAAAAGTACATGAGAAAGTAGGACACAAAGTAGAAATTATTTTTCACTAAGGCAAAGCTGCAGTCATCGGTGTATCACAGTCACAGAGATATTTATTAATCAACTGAGAAGGGTAGACAAGGGTGAGACGTGATAAGGCGGATGAACATAAATAGGATTTTCCTAGGTGAAGTCAGGAGATGACTGGAGAACTTAAATATTCTCAGTCAATAGGCAGCAGACTGACAAAGTTCAGAGCAGATAAAGGCAAAAAATGCAAACTGAAGAGCTATATGACAGCTTTAAATTAACAGCACCAACTCAGAAAAAGTAACTGAAAATTATTTTAGACAGCTCTGGATAGATCTTGGCACAAACACACAAGGCAGCTGAAAACAAGCAAGGCGTTAGCATGCAGTAAAGACTACCATGGGGAATAATGTTCTGGGTGCCATAGTCTCACTTGGAATAGTGTGTGAAGCACTGGGACGGTGAACGTGAAGGAGAATCTAATGGTTCAGAGAAGGTAAAGAAAATGATTGAGGGCCTGGAAAATCTCACAGCAGGAGATGCTGAATAACTGGGATTATTTTAGGAAGCAGATGAATGGGAGGAAAAAAAAAAAAAAAAAGGCTATGAAACACTGAATGGCCCAGAGAAAGTAGGTTAGGACTGTCTGGTGCTACACATTGAGTTGTTTGAGCAGAGTAGCACAGGCTCCTCAAACCATAATTTGGTCGTGTGGCTCACAGCACACCACACTCCATGTTTTAGAGTTTAAGCAAAGGCGTCTCCAGCCTGTTAGGCTGTGATTTGCCCCACACAGACCTCATATCTGATGCTGTGTGGCCATGGTTCCCAAACATGTCTTTTTTGATTAATTTTAATTTTTTTTAAAGAGTCTGACAACACCACCTGTTCACTGCCATGATTCTGCTTGTTGCTCCCATCTCCCATCACAATGTCCTGCCTGTTGTCCGTGCCCACCTCCAGCACGGAGCCCACGGTGACCAAGGGAGCAGACCTCACTGAGCTGTGCAACCAGAGCCACCCCACCGCAGAAGGTCCTGCAGCTGCTGCCTAGAAAGCAGGGATGGGAAGCGTGCCCAGCTTTCGCAAGGCAATATAATATTGTAGTAGTTCTGCAAGCATGTTTTAAATTCCACTTCTTTCTTGTGGTTACCCACTGTTTTCAGTGTTCACATTGAACAATAAATTCAGCTGAACAGCTAAAGAGATGTACCAAACGGCAAGTCCAGCAGCCTATCTCACCTGAGAAGCAAATTCTCACTGCTCTATAACTCATGTCCTTTTCAGTTTTTTCCAAGCAATTGCTTTGCTTCAGGTGTCTCAGGCACCTATGGCATATTTATGTAAATAATACATGCTGTCTTTTTAGAAGTAAACAGTCACATTGGGAAGCATGCACAGAAGAGACTCAGACAAACGCCAGCAACATTGCAGATGCCACTATTCTTTTGATTTTGTAGGAGTAGAGACAGACCTTATGTTCTCAGATACAGCTTATACCCTCCTGGAGAACAGCCCTTCCCAGCACTGTGTTCTCTGCACCTTCTGGGCATTTTTTATTTATATCTTTGTTGATCCAAATGTGAATCAGTCTTAATCTAGCTTCTTGACTAGCTTATGGGGAAAAAATGAAGGTCTATCCTATAGCAGAAAAACCTCCAAATGAGCTTTTCAGGTCTCTGCCAGGGACCTCCAGACACCACAGGGCACTAGGCTTTGGAAGAGATGGTCCTCTCAAGGGAGCTTGGTGCCACAAATGGCAAGGGAGAAAGTGGGAAGAAAAGCCTTATTCTGAAAAAAAAAGAGAAATTGTTGTTTCCTAGGTGATACAACAAAACCTGGTGGTATGCATGAAATATGCGTTTGGTTTCCCAAGGCAAAAAACTTGAAAATTTCCTTTGAAAAATGAAGAGCACCACAGTGCTCAGAAAAGATATATTTTTCTATAGGCAGAAATGACCTGCTTCTACCTACACCAACTGCGAGAAAGCAAGCACATGCACCTCCCATCAACAAGACTTCAAAGTCTCTTCACAGACCTTGTCTAAAAAGAGCTATAAAAGCTTCGGTCCAAACAGATTCACCGTTATTATTCATCTCAAGCTGTTGAAATTAAGACCCCACGCACTCAAGCTAAAGAAAACTTTACCAGCAGTTATCAATACTTCAGGAGCAGTTCCCCGGCTGGTGAGAGTTGGTATTACTTCACCAGAAAAATGTCAATCATCAGCTAAAAAAAATTCTGTCTCAAAGAATTTAATGGTTAGCAAATATCTTGCAGATCGTAAGACATGTTCTATACATAAACATTTTGAAATACATGAACTCCAGGCTTAACTTGTGTCTATTCAAGCTGCCCAGTACTTATCCTTTTAATTTGTTTTCCTTCCGAGGAAAGAAATGTATTAGACTGCAATTATCTGAAAATTTTAAAGAGCAGACACCTAACATTGCTGTTGACAGTCAAGAACTACTTCACACGTGGCGTAATGATTCAGTACCTTACTGAAAGCTGCAAAGGAAGTCTGATGCTATTCCAGAAATAAAACACTCACCTTAACTCACCAAGGTGCCCTCTCGTTACCACTAACACCTTCCTGCCTGACTAAAGGACAAACGGTAACAGCACATTTTTTGCTCAGGAATCCTCAAATAAGCTGAATCATGAAAATACACCATGAATGAACTTGAGCAACCTTATTCTGTGGACTGATACTTGTTGAAGAGCATTATTTAAGGGAAGCAATGATATCACCTGATAATTAATCACATTTTCATGTGATTTCACTCTTCAGTCCCTTGCTAAAGCTTCGCATGGACCAAATTACACCTTCGAAACAAACAGCCAATTTGCAAATCCACAACGAACCAGGTTTAGCATAAGAAATTTTACAACCTTCTCTGCAGTGAAAGTCACTCCCTTTCAAATGTGCTGACCACCAAGACAGCCTGCATGTGCTAACACCAAGCGCCATACTTGTGCAAGTAACATTTGGTATGACATAAGGAAGTTAAAGAAGGATAAGGCTAAAAGGAAAAAAAAATATTATTTTATTTATTTAATTTTTAAAAAAGAAAAGGGAAGAACATAGCAATCAGAAGTTGTTCCTCTTGCCCCACAGCACTGAAAGCTGATCCTCAAGACTGCTGTTACTTTTTGGGTAAGAGGCAGAATGCTACAGCTTGTATTTTTGACATGAGAAACACCTTCATTTTAAAAAGACAGCATAGGATATAAATTGTTTTATGTGAAGAGTAAAAGAAGGCTAATGTTGTTTTCAAGGTAAAGACTGTGTTCTTGTAGTCAAGGCCTGGAGTCGCTTACAGGCTCTACAACACTTTTCACTGTTGCTTAGTCTGCAAATCTGATGTTCAAATTTAAGGTATAATAAGATTACCTGAAGAAGTGCATTAGTTAGAAAGTGAAATGGTAAATCTTGAAATGTCAAATCTTTGTCTTGTTAGCTTTCAAAGTTCAGGATTGTTTGTCTTCTCTCCTTTGTTCACTTCAGGCTTGCCTGGACATTTCTCATCCGTACAAGAGGGAAGACAAATGGTTCACTCAAAAAGATATTACATCCAAGCATGGATTTGAAAGGGGTCATTTGCTTTTGAGTTTAAACATGGAGATGTACTGAAATCACCAGGCTTACACACATCATTAAAGATCCTACAAAGTTGCAGTCTTGTCCTCAACAGCAATGCTGAAATGATTTTATCTATTTGTTGGAGGAGAGGTGCTCCTATTTGCTTCTTTAAGACCACCATTTTCCCAAAGGAGATGCTGTAATTTCACTAAATTTAGCTATATTTTTTCTGTCTAACACAGATCCTTAAGACTGAAGACAAAAAAAAAGCATTAACAACCTCAAAGGCTCGAGCACAGCTGGGTTGTGGATGAGTAGCAGTTCCCCCGTGCCAGCTGACCCATCACGCAGGGCTTTGTGCGCATGTCTCTGTAGGTGGCTGCAGGTCAGCTTGTCTTACATTAGCCCTGCTGTCTGAACGTACGTATTCGGCTGCCATGCTCGTATGTGTGATTCCTCTACCGATGATTTCAAAAGCCATGCAAAGGTATCCCTAACTAAGCAGGCAAGCGGAGGATTAAGCCTGACCTCTCTGATAGAAGAAAGCGACCAACAACTTAACCTTTAAAAAGATCAAAAAAGTTACAAGATAATTTAAAAGCACAAGACTGCAAATCTATAACCTCGCAGTCTCTGCTGTATTTTCTGACTTCAGCTGAGCTACATTTTTTAAGCACCCATGGTAAGCTAAAGCTTTCTTCACCTCTGAGAGCACTGAACCTTTCAGGCTCAGGAAGAAATCCACTTCATGATAAGTAATACCTATTCCATCTCCAGACAGCTTTTATTATTGAAGTGCTGGGACACCAGTGCAACAAACCCACCAGAAAATGGATTTTTCCAGCAAGTAAACTCAGTAACAGGATGTATAGAAACAAGGCCTGTTCATATGCTCAAGGATTTCTTCATACACCATAAACAAAAAGGAACTGCTCCGACACTTGCCTAAAGGCAGGGGCTCTGTGCCTGCAACTACTGAACAGGATAAGGTACAGATCTGTGCTCCAGAAATCTGCTTTCCCCTATGCTTGCACAGGAGATTGTCCTCCAGAGCTGACTCAGGAGCAAGGGAGAGAAACATACAGACTTAAAAGCTTAAAAGTTGTGTAATAGCGAGCAAAATTAAACTCTCACACTGGGTATACATATATTATACGCACACCCCCTGAGTAATTCCCCTCACCATCATTCCAGTCCCATTCAAAACAACGATTCCTACAATCACATCTTTAAGAGCTGAATATTGTATTTTTACAATTATTCCAGCTTAGCTAGAAACAGCAACAATTTAGAACTAGTTTATTAAATGAATTAGAAGAGGAATTATTTTGTCTTCAGCCTGAAGTGAAAAAAGCCAGGGGGAAATTCTCCTGTATCTCCTTGTCCCTAATGGAGGTTCCAGCCAAAGTGCTGCAAGATTGTTAAGGAAGAGGTTTGGATTCAGACTCACCCAGTCCTCTTTTAATCCTAACAATACAAACCAATATTCACTCAAACCACTCATTCAACTAGCGAAACACACTCTTAAAGAGACCATGTTAAAAGCAACAGAATAGTCCACTGAAATATTTTTGTTTGGAAAGCAATAAGAGGTTTCTATTTTTATATACACAAATCACCACTGAATAAATAATATAACTCACTAGCAAAGAAGTTTTGTTATAAAGTGAGATTTTATGCTGCAAAATGAATTTTGTTGTTACTGTTAAATATAATATTTGCAGAATCATAAACCATTATCATGCACATGCTCCACTTCTGGCAAGCGGGGACCAACTGCAATAGCACATTTTTAGAAATAAAAGGAAGATACAGCTTCTTAAAAACACTTGGACATCAGTAGCCCCAGCCTGCCACTGAAATTGTTTTTGTCTGTTGGCTTTGTAAAATTCAAAATATCCTTTCCTGACAGACATTTAAAATCAGCACCATTTAGATCATTATGAACTACCCATAAAAAATTATGCAAGCAAATTTTTCTAATTATTTTTTTAAAACCATCCAAACGATTTAACAAAAAAACAATTCTGCTATGAAAAAAGTCAGACCCAAACCAGTTACACAGAATCAAGTGAATTTATTCACGCCTCTGACATGAAGAGGCCACAGAAGCCACTCAAACCAAGCACCTTTTGGTGCAATAGGTTCAGAGGTACGTATCCATCAAAAAAATCACTGATACCGTTTGTTGAAACAAGACTGCTTTGAACTGCTGTCTGTTAAAGCCTCTCCAGGATTACCTCCTCGCCCTTGGCTTCCCAAGATTTCACCTTGACCGCAAGAAGTTTCCCCACCCAGTCCATGTGTCTGCAGACCACACACATGCCGGTTACCTTGCGGACATGACAGGAGAAGAGCACGTTCATGTACTTGTCTTTCCGTTTCAGCTCGTTGGCAACAGGGATGAAAGAGCCCGTGGTCTGAGGGTTGTCTGGTTTCTGAAAGAGCAAAGACAGGCACATAACTCTTCTTGCTTACTGAAGAAAGTAATTGCATTACGTCACGGTGGGCCAGAGAGAACTGCAGCTGCATCACCGCGTCCGAAGGCTTCCTCCAGTCTCTGCCTCATCAAAGAGCAGCAGAGCATCTGGAGTTTTATGTGCTTTCTGAAAAAAAAAAACCCTTAACAAAACAAAATGCTTGAAGGAAGGACAGAGTAAAAGGAAGCAATGCCACTTGCCTAGAGAGAACTTCTTTGTTCCTTTTCATTTTATGCTATTTCTTAACATCCCATTATACCTCGAATTTTAGTTTTACATTGACTTCTTTCCTAGCTTTGGCCATTTGAAGAGCCAGCTGATGGCATTACTCATTATCTTTTAATGCTGCTTGTGATGCTCAAGCTATGCTTAGTATTCAGAAAAATCACTCCTAGTATAGTAGAAGTCAAAGACTCTGAAACTATATAAACCCATTTACAGAGGAAACTTTAAAGTACTTCTCCCTCCCAAGAAACCAACAGTCACTTTTTAAGATTTCCACCCTTATAACATTCTAAGCCCCAGCCATTGCATTGATGACTTCACTTGTACTCACCAGTGCGATGTAATTCCCCTCCCATGCTCTTTGTAGGCCAATATCAGCTCTGTGACCCTTCAGCACTTCCATGGCAGCAACCTTGGCCCTCAGTTGAGGTAGGACTTCTGGTGGGACGCTCCGGATGAGTTCACCTGCTCTCCACCTGCCGCAAAACACCTTGAATCAGTTCCAGTCTGTACCATGCACTCTGAGGACTACTTCTGCCAGATCAACCACAAGGACACCCCTAGACTATAAATGTCAGAGTAAAAAGAAGTCCTTCCATTGCATTCATAAAGCTGGAAACATCAGTTATCACTTTAAAGTCACATATCATCTCTGACTCCCAACAGATTTGGCTGGTGTACTCCTCATCCCATACCCAGAAGTCAACTACTGGCACATCTGTTTGCAATAAAGTTTTTGCAAGCCCATTTTTTGGCTCATTTACAATATCATTCTCCTTTAATAGCTGAATTTGGCCCTACAATTGAAACCTAACCAACTGTGACATGAAACAGGGCAGGGCAGCCCATCCATTACTCCATACCATACTCCAGCCTTCAGCAGCAACACCAGGCCTCCAGGATTAATGCTATGAAAAGTCTTTCAGCAACTAAAATTTTGTAGTTATGATAATTAAGCTTATTCTGAAAGCAGGACTCTCTACTCAAATAGGCTGTGGATGGCTTTCAAGAGACAGCTGGGGAAAAAAAACCCAAGGCTAACTTGATCTAGTGCTGGTGGTAATCCCCCTTCAAGCAGATGGCTGGACTGGAGATCTCTAGAGGCCCCATCCAGCCAACATTTCTCTTGTTCAGCGATTTTCAGAAGTCATCATTTTTCAAATTGGAATTGTAACTACTTTGCCTACAACTTACCAGAGAAAAAAGTCACTAGCTTTTAGATATTAGGTTGTAATAAAGGTATAAAATACCTCTTCTACACATAGAATACGGGTGAATAGCGGAACATTGCTTATTCTACTGCAGAAAAATACTGGCTTAGTATAAGAAGTCTTGAGGAAGTCGAGAAGATTCCTTTTCTCTTCCCCCTCATCTAACAGCAGCTGCTCTTTTCTTTTGAAGCCAACCAGAAAGGGGTCAAGAAAGGAAATACAATGTCCATCCTGACTAAATCTTTGAAACAGAATAATTATTTGCCTGGTCAAGGGTGCCAAAAGCCACTGACATCTTCAGCTATGATGTGCAGTTAATGTTCTTCAGTCCTTTTTTCAACTTTTATGGAACAAGCAGTAGCTGTTCACTCCTCTAGGTTACACTGAAAAGACAAGAGGTTTTCTTTTGTACCTATGGTAAATGGTCTGGAGTGCCTCTTCAAATCGGCGCAGCACTTTTGGAGGAGTGGGCCACTGCACATGCTTGCCATAATCCTTCATTAGCCTCACATTGTGAAAGCGTCGGGCAACCTCATGGATGTAGGCCTTCACTTTGTAGTGGCGGTAATACTTGAGTATTGTGAGGGCGGCCTTTGTCCTCTTATAGCGAAGGCGAGCCAAAGTGCCCCTCCAAACCTAAGAGTCAATGGAGAAATAGTTTTAGCAATAAAAAGCAGGATATTTTTTTCTTTCTGTACTCCTATACTGCTGAAATCCATAAATATATTAGTTTTATTTTGAAGGAAGTGATTTCTCTGTACTAATCAAATCCAATTAAAATATGACTGAAAAACCACTCTGTTTACCAGTGTGTCGAGAAACAATTTTAACTCTGATTAAAAAAAGATTGCTTTGAAAATAGTTTGGGGAATATCCATCCCGGCTGTGTGCTGAAAAGCAAGCAAATAAGCAAAACAAATGATATCCTCCCAACTTGCCGGACGGAAGGCCAGCTCTGCCAGCTTTGCTGCGAGTCTTATTTGTGCCTGGAGAGCACCACAGGCAGAAAACACGCCATGTTCTGGACTTCTCCTTCTGACACCCCATGCAAAGAGGCACTCTGGGGCTCGGTGCAAGAAGACTGCTTGCAGTGCTGACGTGACTGTACGTTGCTACCTTAACTCCTAACTTGAAGACCGCCTGCACAACAAAGCATGGCAGCGCTCAGCCAGGCTGGGCAGGTTGTGCTGTTTGTATCCTGTAACCAGAGAAATGCATATTCACCTGAGTGCTCTCAAGCTGACATGCATGTCCCCAAGGGATTCGTCAACAGCTGTACTTTTCATCTAATATAATCTGCCAAGATGAAGACTGTATTTTTGTTTCCTTGTAGAATTAAACTGGAAGGATAATGAGCCTCCTGCATACGAAGAGTGCTTTGCTGCTCACTACGGGCCCTGCTGGAGAGTTTATTTCCCTCTTGAGAAACATCCCATAGCACCATTGATGCATATCAAGCCTTCTATTTACAGAAGAATTAATTAATTACCTGAGGCAATTTCCAACATGATATTCGCTTTATGAAGCTGATGTCAAAGGTTCTCTTGACAGCTTTACTGATAACCCTGATATGTGGCTGACAAAAACTATATGTAGCAAGCAGTATAGCAGATGTGAGGGGCTGCTCTTCTCTATACACTCAAAATTCAGAGGAAATAGAGCCTTTGGGTCCCAAGCCCCTCAAAAGCAGAGGACTCTTCTTCCAAACTCTGTCAGAGCAACCCCTCCTCGTTCCCCTTTGGCCTCACTGTCCTTGCGTGGGATATCTCCTGTTCACAACAGACATGACTCACGTGGCTCCAGCAGAGCCTGGGGAGTTGTTTGAACACCCACCGCTTCACTGGTGGGGTTTGATGCTCTGTAAAGCACATTTACGTTCTAACACGCCAGAACAGAGTCAAGACCCTACACAACACTGCCCAAACATCCGAGGTAAGGCTGAGCCAATCCATTCCTCAACCTGTATTTTATCGTGTCCAAATGACTGTAAGCCTACAACCTCCAACATTTTATTCCAAGATAGAAACCAGTCATTGAAACACTATAAAATCACCCTAAACCCTATGCCATTCTGTGGATCATTTACCATGGTGAAAGCCAAACTGCAGCTGCTAAGTGCCATACAGCTGAGAAGCAGACGGAGCCCAGCTTACTCCTATACTGTACGTTGTGTATTGGTGGTAGGAAGACGAGGAAGGAAATGATCCTGGACAGCAAAGTGTAGGAAAATGAAGTAAAGCAAGCAACTAGGTGAACAACTGAACACATGCAAGGTGACTGAAGGCAACGTCCTCCTTATCAGACCCCAGCCCCTGCCAGGAGCCACTCTCCTAAGGAGGGTGTGGGAATAGAGACTATTTCAGCAGTTGAAGGGGAGAGCTGGGGAAGTGAGGCAGGACACAGGACAGCGAAGGGAAAGGTAAGAGCAGGAAGCACAAAAAGCAGTCCCTGTAACCACAGCAGAAAATCAGCACTGCTGTATGACCTGACAAACAAAACCGGCAGGAAGAGAAAGCGTGGGTTAAACAGCGAACAGTGAACTGGTACTGAAAATCTCAATGCTGCATGCATATAAAATAATGTATAACACTTTCCTTATTTTTTCTTTGAAATCATTAGACAGATTGAGGGAAAGCAGCATCCTCTGCATCACATATGCTGTTCTTAGTAGTCGCTTTTAGCACACTCAGTTATAATTGTAGTTTTAGTTCTATGTAACCTGCATATCACAAAGAGATACAAGAACATTGCCATATAAAGGGCATCAGAGCTCCTGAGAACCTCAGGGCTTCCTGAAGCCACAAGCTAAAACCAACTTGCACGGGGCATGGGTTTCACCCAAAGTGTGTAAGGCTGATTTAAACCTCTCATTTTCATGTCTGAGGGCATATCAGGTTCAGAAACTGTATGAATTTAACAGAATCAGCAACTAGGATAAAATAATTGAGCCTCTAAAGAGTACTGAAGTAATTTGTGCCCTTTTTCAAAGAAAAGTGAAGAAGACTTGGATTGCTTGAGACATTTAAACGTAGACTGAAGTCTCACAAAATGTACCTGCAAGGAATGTATGGACAGTAAACAAGACAAACTAGGTAAAATCCTACTGCCAACTTCTCATTTTTTAATTTATTAAGAATAGAAATGAGGAACGAAGGGTTCCAAGTCACAGCTAAACAGCCTTCTGAATGTTATAAAGGATCCCAAGAAAAGCACATGCACGGTAAATTTGTGTAAGCTGCTAAAGACTTTGCAGAGCTTCACTTCTGTCAAGTTTTTCCCAAAAACATTTTGAATTGTTTTTAGATACAGAACAAGGTCTTGATTTTGCTTCCTTGTGCTTGAAGTAGGCACGCTCTTGAGGGAAGTCTCTTGCTGTGGTTATTTTTTACACCAGTCAGACATCCGTGGAACAAAGGCGCTGTAACAGATTGCCCCAATGTTGTATCAGCTGCATCGCTGCAGAAATTGGCTTCACAGCAAGAAGTGTCACAATTGCTACAAACACTAGCCTTCCAAATCCAATTATCCAGCTGAGGCATGCCCCTTGGCTACACACAAGCAGTAAACTATTAATGAAAAGCATGTCCTCAAATCAAGTTGTCATAACTGGATAACCTCCCTCCTAGTAAGGGCCTTCCTAATAGCCACAATGGCAGTGCCTCCCAAAAGTAAGGAGAAAGCCAAGGATAAGAACAAACTTCTCCCAGGGAATGGGGTACAACTATTTTTAAAATTAATTGTTTTTCTGGCTTGGTGTTCTTCTTTTCAACCACAGGGCTCATTTCTGCTTAAAGCAGTCCATCAATAATGTTGAACTGCCAAGGCAAGCTGACTACCTGATGGTCTAGCAGACTCTTCCAGAAAAAACACGGACCGTTCAAACCTACAAACAAGAGGAGGCTGTCAAAGCAACAAACTCCTTGTTCAGCAGCCACTTTGTGTACTCTGCATTATGTAGTTGTGAGCAATGGGTCAGAACCATACACAAGACAAACGAGGATGCTGGAGTGTTTCCTACCAACACGCACCTTTCTCAGGCTTGAATATCGGGAGAGCAGCAGCTCTCTCAATGTACCTTTTCAATTCTTCCCCCCACCTCCAGTTCATAACTCAAGAACATCAAGCACTGTAAAATGAAATTAAAGATCAAATTTCCAGAGCTAAGTTTATCATGGCACTTAACAGATTCTCACGTTGCAAAAGCTACTTTTATTGTTACATGCTAGAGGACAATGGTAGAGCTAAGGCCAAACATGGGGGACCTGCATGCCAAAAACCCAACAGAAAGATCTGTGCATTCAGGATTCTACTTCTTTCTTGTGGCCCTCTGTACCCAAGATAATGTCCAAGTCATTTTCATATATAGTTCAGAAAGGATTCAACAGCTCCCATGCATCACTGTTCTGAAACTTGACAACCAGTGAGCAGCTTTCAGCTTGAACTTAAATCAAAACTACACACCAGCAAGCTGGTAGTTTCAGCACTTGCATTTAGCAAATCTTGCAAGGACAGGGTAAACAGGCCTGAGAATCACAGTGCCCTGTATCATTCCTCCCACAGGCAAGAATAAAGCGATACTTCCTTTGCCACCTTTCTGTGACTTTCACTTCTGGTTAACCTGGCTTCCCATAGAAACGAGACTAAAGATAACCTTGTCCCCATCTGACCTCCCGAGATTGCTGCGATATCTTCTGAATCTCTAGCCAGCTTCAACCAAATCTGACAGAGGAACAGAAGACTCAAAGAGGCAAGTCCATATATCTTTCAGGAAAAATCAACAGCAGAGTAGAGCAAGCCTCAAATTAGAGTGACATTGCTGGAAACGCTTCAGAATGAGCTCAAGAGCCATCTGCCTTCTTTGATCTCCAAATCCCATCCAGCACACATGAAGCTCCTAGCTAGGCACAGCCACACCAGACTGCATGCCAAGCCAAACAGGTAGAGGATACCAGAAGGATCTGGCAGTATACCAGGGGGATGAGAAGGTGGACATGTGCGGACACAAGGGAAGGAGTGGAGGATAGGATGAAGATTGGAGAGTACTGGCAGTGAAGTGGTCACAAGAAGAAAACTGACTGTTGTCACTGTGGGGTGTCAGCAGTGTACGACAAACCCATAGGAAGCCAGGCTCACAGAAAACCTTGTTTGATGACAATTTTCAAAGTGACACACTGAAGAGCAGACTCCAAAGCAATCAATTTTGTCACCAATTAACGCAGTGCCTAGTGACCAAGCAAGAGCAAGCGTCATTGTGCAGGACACGCTATTGAACAGATTGTCCTTTACAAGAAGAGCTGCCCAAGGAGACAAGGCAGGGCAGGGTATGGGAAGGGGAATAACCAGCAGCATGTGTTGGCTCCACAATGTGTGTATGCACAGGAGGGGACCATAAGTAAATTAAGGACTCAAGAGCAGAGATGTATAACTACGGTTATGTTGAAAATGGAAAGAAAAGGAGGTTTTAGGCTTTTTAAAAACAAACAAACAAGCAAGCAAGCAAGAAAACAACAAACCAAACCAACAACATTCCTCCCCATCCAGTCCCCATCCATGGTCTCTCCTCATCTATTTCAATACCTCTGCCTTCTCCTCTATGCTTTGTCCTCCTAAAGGTTGGGTGAAAAAAAACTAAGGGC